GTGCAAAATTAGTACTTGACTTCAAAGAGTTGACGGTACTCATATAAAAATTTAATAAATTTAAATCATTGGTAATTTAATAAATTTAAAGCAAAAAATCTCTGTTATATGCCTTGTCATTATATTGGTTTTGTGTGTGTGTTTTTTTTTAAAATAATTACTTCATTACAGATGGGGCTGATATGAAAATGTAAAGATATCATCAATAACTTCAAACTTGCAATAACTGTAAAAAGGATCTATTACACGTGAGTAGTCATCAAATACATTGTGTGGTATGTCATTTTTTTGTTTGTTTTACATTACATACCACATGTTGTTGCAGAAAATTACTTAAAAAAATAACATTGCAGCTAAAATCTGTGTTGAATTAGTACTTCACTTTATTACTGTAGATGGGACTGATGTCAGAATTTATCATTCTAATAACTGTAAAAAGGTAATATAAGTGTCGTCATCAAATACATTTTCTGGTATATCAGTTTTTTAACAGTACATACCTGTTGTAGGTTTTGCTACTGGTATTACTGCTGAAAAAAGAACCAAATAAACCTTTTCATTTTAAAATGTAATATTTATAATTGTAAAATGCAGTTTATTTATTAAAAAGATGACATTAACAATCAAATTTGAAAAATTTGTCACAATTCTCACTATTAACAAACCATTAATTATGACGTTTGCCTCAATACATTCCTAATTTGCTGCTTATTAATAGTTAGTAAGGTAGTTGTTAAGTTTGGGTATTGGCTAGGATTAAGGATGTAGAATATGGTCATGCAGAATAAGTGCTTTACAAATACTAATAAACAGCCAATATGTGAATAATAGGCATGCTATAAGCAAGCAACTAGTTAATAGTGAGAATTGGTCCCTATACTAAAGTGTTACCAAACTTATAGCAGTTAAAGGTACACTAAGTAATTAAATATTCATATTTTGCTACCTATATTTTGTCCTCTTAAATAAATAAATTTTGTGGTATATCAGTTTTTTATCAGTACAAACCTGTTATGTTTGTAACTGTTCTTGTAATAGTAGTAGGTATTGTAATGGTTGTGGTGGTTGTTGTAGTAGTTGTATTGGTTGTTGTAGATGGTGTAGTAGGTTTTGTAGTTGTAGTGGTTGTTGTAGATGGTGTAGTAGTAGTATGTGTTGTAGTTGTATTGGTTGTAGTAGATGGTGTAGTAGTTGGTGTAGTTGTAGTGGTTGCTGTAGATGGTGTAGTAGTAGTAGTATTAGGTGTTGTAGTTGTAGTGGTTGTTGTAGATGGTGTAGTAGTAGTAGAAGGTGTTGTAGTTGTATTGGTTGTAGTAGATGGTGTAGTTGTAGTGGTTGTTGTATATGGTGTAGTAGTAGTAGTAGTATTAGGTGTTGTAGTTGTATTGGTTGTTGTAGATGGTGTAGTAGGTGTTGGTGGTGCTGGTGGCAATGAAAACAAAACTTATCAGATCAATCAAAACAAAAAAAGAAAAGAATATGGTTCCACTATATGAACACTTAACATTAGTATCACAATGGTTTTTAAATGTAATCAAGAAATGAGTTTGTTGCAGTGAATCCATCCAGACATGAGCAATTGTAACTTCCAATTTCATTTGTGCAGGTAGAATTTAGACCATATACAGATGGACTGAACAGACATTCATCTGGTGGAAAACCCAAATTATATAAAAAATATTTTTTAAAAAACCATAATGTATGCAAACACCAAAACTACAAACACATCTGATATCTCTCAACATTATTCTATACAAGGAAGCAGAAAATACATGTGTCTTGGTTGAATCTATAACCCCTCCGCCCCCATTTTTTCTGAATCAATTTAAAGGCACAATATGTAAGATTTTTTTATTAAAATATCCAAAAACCACTAGAACAGTGTTATATATTTTGCTGACTTGTGCACTTACATTATCCCAAATGTTTCGAAGAATGTTTAAATACAGAGCAATTTTAAAGTGACACGGACCGTGTCCATAGTGTCATTGTGTCGCCTGCCAATGACGTCATACACCCTCGATTTCCAGTTTTGTTTTGTAGAAAACATGGAAACACCAAAGATGCTTTAATATGTTGTGCATTTTATTAGACCGCACAGAGTAGCATAATAACAGAACTTTCAAATGTATCTAGTATGATAAAACAGCGCTGCTTTTTTCCCCCCACATACACACGACCGGAAGGAGCGGAAGCGGTCGACTGTGGCATAATAAAAGCTCTGCTGCTTTCGAGCCGTGTGTCACGCTCGTCCAGCGGCCTCGTTTCGCTTTGATGGCTTTCAGCCTCACCCTGCTTCATTCTACTACGTTAGTAAATCATTAGCTCATCCATGAACATGATTTCTGCCCGAGTCCCGTCGGATTGCATCGGCTGTGGGGATGAAGACCACAACTCCCATGATTCCACACTCAGTCACGGCCTTTGCCTCTTTGTTTATTTTGAATAGGCGCCCTCCAGCGGTGAAAATTACATTTTGTGCTTTAAGAAATCTTTGCATTTATAACTTAATGAATTGCATGATGCCAACTATCAAATTTATCTTAAAAATAAATAAATAAATAAATAAATAATGTTTTCTACTAAAGTCTGTGTAAAATAGTTTGAAGTAGTTCACTTCAAAATGTAAAAATGTCATTACTTGTACATGTAAAATTTTATTTATTTAAAAAAAAGATAAAGCCAACAATCAACTTTAAGCTTAAATTACTGTACATGAGACTTATATCAAAATGTATAATTCTAATAACTGTAAAAAGGCTATCTTATAAGTTTGTTGTCATCAAATACATTTTGTGGTATATATAGTATTTTTTAACAGAACATACCTGTTGTTGTAAGTGTAGGTATTGTTACAGCTGTTGTTGGTGGTTCTGCAGAAAAAATATATTTTTTTTTAGAAAAGAACCAAATTAACTTTTATCATTTTAAATACAAGTTATATTTAAATGTATTTATTAAAAAGATGACACTAACAATAAAAAAAGGCGTTCGAGCGTACGACGTAGGCGTAGCAGAAGGCGTGATGTAAGCTCCGGGGAGAATAGTGTAGTCTCGCGAGAACCAAGTTTTGTTTACAGCACAGGGAAACCACGTGAACTACATCTGTAGTTTGTGCCGTCGCCGCTGCAGCCTCCTCCATCTCGCGGAGTTCCTGGTCAGTATACTCTGGTTCAAACAAATATGGCTGAGCAAAAAACTCATTCTCCTCTAGCCTTATATCGAAATCCTCTGATATTTTTGCTTTCTCCTCTGTGCTTCCGTGTTCGTCACTCTCTCCCCGGAGCTTACGTTGTGCCTTCTGCTATGCCTACATCATACGCTCGAATGCCTTGTTGTGAACACTCCTGCTTGAGCGACCTGAAGCTGGAGAATACTGTTTATACATTTTATTTAAAAAAATCTATATTTTTCTTACACTAACGCATCGTTTCGCTTCAGAAGGCCTTTATTAACACACCGGAGCCATGTGGAGTAGTTTTATGATGGATGGATGCACTTTTTTTTGGGGCTTCAAAAACAGGTGCATCATTCACTGCCATTATACAGCTTGGAAGAGCCAGGACATTTTTAAATATAACTGCGATTATTTATGTCTGAAAGAGGAATGTCAGATACGCCTAGGATGCCCTGAGGGTGAGTAAATAATGGGTTTATTTTCATTTTTGGGTGAACTATCCCTTTAAAGGTAAACTAAGTTTTTAAATGTTTATATTTTTTTACCTATATTTTGTCCTCCTAAGCAACAAATGCATTTTGTGGTATATCAGGCTTTTTACAGTACATGACTAGTGATTGTAACTGTTGTAGCTGTAGGTGTTGTTACAGCTGTTATTGGTGGTACCGCAGAAAAAAAAAAACTAAATGTTTGTCTAAAAAGTTTTAGAATTGTACAATGCAATATTTGTCATTGCAAAATGCAATTTATTTCTTAAAAAGATGACACCAACAGTCAAAAACAAAACAACAAAAACTTACAAATTTCAACAGTTAAAGGTGCACATATTTTGCAACAAATATATATAAGTTAATGATGTTTGGGCAAAGTCCAGAGTTTCAGGTAAGTCCGTCTAAAGCTTATGTGTATTAACTTAAACTGCAAGATCAATGCAAAGATGTTCAAAAAGGAGGACATATCCTAACCCGTTTTTAATTGCTACTGATCATTGGTCATTTTTTCTTAATAATAGCACTGAATGTTAATTGTTTATTTGGCTGCACATAAAAAAAACACTTGCAAAGCTTCTTCATGATAAAACACATGAACTGAAATTAAAAACCATTAATGGGAAAATATTGAACTCTGAATAAATATGATCTCTTTAAGCAACAGACCTTAATCAATTTAATACTAACATTTACATCTTTTAGCAACACCTCATATTTTGTTTTTGAATACACATATATTGGTAATGTTACTGTTGACACTGAATTAACCAAAAGAAAAAACAAACTAACAAAACAAACTATAAGCCTCTCACTCTACCTTTTCTTTGTCATGATTTGGTCCTATAAGCATTAGCTGTAACTCATTCTTTGGCATCTTTATAATAGAATACTTCATTTACAAAGAACGAAATCCAAAATCATGTGAATACACAATAAACACAAAACTGATTACAGAATGTACCTGTACATGAGACTTATATCAAAATGTATAATTCTAATAACTGTAAAAAGGCTATCTTATAAGTTTGTTGTCATCAAATACATTTTGTGGTATATAAGTATTTTTTAATAGAACATACCTGTTGTTGTAAGTGTAGGTATTGTTACAGCTGTTGTTGGTGGTACTGCAGAAAAAATAAAAAAATTAGAAAAGAACCAATTGAACTTTTATAATTTTAAATAAAAGTAATATTTAAATGTATTTATTAAAAAGATGACACTAAAAAAAATAAATAAATAAAAAATCAGTTAAAAGGATAGTTCACCCAAAAAAAAAGGCTATCTTATAAGTTTGTTGTCATCAAATACATTTTGTGGTATATAAGTATTTTTTAATAGAACATACCTGTTGTTGTAAGTGTAGGTATTGTTACAGCTGTTGTTGGTGGTACTGCAGAAAAAATAAAAAAATTAGAAAAGAACCAATTGAACTTTTATAATTTTAAATAAAAGTAATATTTAAATGTATTTATTAAAAAGATGACACTAAAAAAAATAAATAAATAAAAAATCAGTTAAAAGGATAGTTCACCCAAAAATGTAAATTATCCAATGATTTACTCACCCTCAGGGGATCCTAGGCATATCTGACATTCCTCTTCAGACGAATCCAATCGGAGTTATATTAAAGGGGTCATATGATGCTTTTTTAAAGATAATTATTTTGTGTATTTGGTGTAACAGAATATGTTGACATGCTTTAATGTTCAAAAAACACATTCTTTTTCAAATACTGTACATTATTGTAGGTCCTCTATGCCCCGCCTCTCTCAAACGTTTCGTTTTCTACAAAGTCCCTCCTTCCAACAAGCGCAGTCTGCTCTGATTGGCCAGCTGACCCAGTGCATTGTGATTGGCCGAACACCGCAAGCACTCGTCGTAAATGTAACGCCCCTTACCATAATCGCGAGCTTCATCTTTCAAAATAAATGTAAAGACAGAGCCCGAAAGGGGAACAGAGTCATGTGACAGACACAGTGATGAAGCTGGTATGTGTACAGTACACAAGCCATGGTTAAGACAGCTGACTCCACTGATACCTCTTCTCCTAGGGTAACGAAACGGTCGTCCATAAAATGCATTGCTGTTCTGTTGTAAGTAATCTTAAAGATTCCTAAATGCATCTATTTTCGGAAGGCAAAGTAAAGTGCTTTTGCTTTCGCCTAAAAACACACAGCATCTCCCTGACATGGCTGCTTCAACACTAACTGCGGTTACTGAAACCACACCTTCTTTCTTTGCGTGAACATTTGGGCAGCATTATGCTAATATTTCCACATAGTGAGGTAGATATGTGGGGGCGTGTTAGAACGAGCCGTTTTAGGGGGGCGTGGCAGAGTCTTAACTTTGATAAAGAATATCTCTTTGGTTTTGAGACTTAAGTCTTTGCAACTTCAGGGATCTTATCTATGCACAATCAGCTTGTAACACTCCAAAGAGAAAGTCAAATTTGAATTCGCATCATATGACCCCTTTAAAAATTGTCCTGTCTCTTCCAAGCTGTATAATGGCAGTGAATGGTGCCCCTGTTTTTGAAGCTGAAAAAAGTGCATCCATCCATCATAAAACTACTACACACGGCTTTGGGGTGTTAATAAAGGCCTTCTGAAGCAAAACGATGCGTTAGTGTAAGAAAAATATTGTTTAAAATTTTTTTTATTAACTGTAATCTCCAGCTTCCGGTCGCTCAAGCAGGCGCATTTCCGACAAGGCGTTCGAGCGTACGACGTAGGCGTAGCAGAAGGCGTGAGGTAAGCTCCAGGGAGAATAGTGTACAGGTGCATCTCAATAAATTAGAATGTCGTGGAAAAGTTAATTTATTTCAGTAATTCAACAAAAATTGTGAAACTCATGTATTAAATAAATTCAGTGCACACAGAGTGAAGTAGTTTAAGTCTTTGGTTCTTTTGATTGTGATGATTTTGGCTCACATTTAACAAAAACCCACCAATTCACTATCTCAACAAATTAGAATATGGTGACATGCCAATCAGCTAATCAACTCAAAACACCTGCAAAGGTTTCCTGAGCCTTCAAAACATTTTTGCTTTCTCCTCTGGGCTTCCACGTTCGTCACTCTCTCCCCGGAGCTTACGTTGTGCCTTCTGCTATGCCTACATCATACGCTCGAATGCCTTGTTGTGAACACTCCTGCTTGAGCGACCTGAAGCTGGAGAATACAGTTTATACGTTTTATAAAAAAAATCTATATTTTTCTTACACTAACGCATCGTTTCGCTTCAGAAAGCCTTTATTAACACCCCGGAGCCGTGTGGAGTAGTTTTATGATGGATGGATGCACATTTTTTTTTCGCTTCAAAACCAGGCGCACCATTCACTGCCATTATACAGCTTAGAAGAGCCAGGACATTTTTAAATATAACTGCGATTATTTATGTCTGAAAGAGGAATGTCAGATACGCCTAGGATGCCCTGAGGGTGAGTAAATCATGGGTTTATTTTAATTTTTGGGTGAACTATCCCTTTAAAGGTAAACTAAGTTTTTAAATGTTTATATTTTGTTACCTATATTTTGTCCTCCTAAGCAACAAATGCATTTTGTGGTATATCAGGTTTTTTACAGTACATAACTAGTGATGTTGTAATGTCTCGGTTACGTATATAACCCTCGTTCCCTGAAGGAGGGAACGTAGACGTCACGTCGGAGGACCGACGAATTGGGATCTCGCTTAGAGGGACCAATCTACTTAGAGTGTAAACTAAACGAGCCAATGCACATTGGCATGCGATTATTGCATCCAGCTGCTGCTGATCACAGCGTGAGTATAAGTAGGCAGCAGGTGCAGCACATATTCAGGTTTTCGCTGAGGAGCCGAGCCGGTGACCCGGCCGCTCAGCGGTGGTACAGGAGCTGTGGCGACGGGACGTGACGTATCCGTTCCCTCCTTCAGGGAACGAGGGTTACATACGTAACCGAGACGTTCCCTTTCAGTCGGTCACTCTTGACGTCACGTCGGAGGACCGAC